CATTGGTATTTGTAACTAAAAAATCCTAACCTTTAAAAGGAGAAAGGACTACAATGATGTCTACCAGAGTTGGCACAAAGATGAAGGCATAGCTTGGGGAGGAATAAACCATTATAGTTTTTAATTCTTCCTAAAATTTGATAGCTCACTTTTAAATTGTGGCCATTGCTAATTGTTCCAGAAAAGAGCAGCTTAAAAGAACTATCAAGCTAATGTGCTTAGCCATTAGTATTGTGCATGATGGGCAGAAAGGGTGGAAGTTATTGTCCAATCCTTTCTCTTCTGTGTTTTAAGATATCCCTTTACCTATCCAGAAGGGGGGCAAGGCGAAGTGAGATACATCTTCAAGCTTCCTGAAATACAGTCACCAGAATTGTACATGTTCAGTGGCAAACCTCTTAATTAGCTCCCTCTATCCCCAGCCTTTTTGCTGCCTGGGATCTTCCTATTGTGCTTCTCCGTTTCCTATACTGAATTCTGTAGCCATCTGAAATGAGCATGCACAACGAGGAGGGAAGATGTGCAGGAAACAAATTCAAACTTGTGTTAATCTGGATTCCACAGGGAATACTACACTAATGCATTGGGATTCATGACAGCGGGGAGAGGAGAGAGTTTGAGGATAATGCTGCCTAATTCAGGAGCATGATTCAGTGAATCACATCAGACATGAGGCTTGCCTGTGTGTTAGCATCAAGGCCTTTGCTAGAGTGAGAATAGTGCTTCCTTTGCTGCCACTGATGTGGTCAGTGGAGTTGAAGGGGAGAAGTCATATACATACAGAATTTGCAGTCTGTCTCCAGAGGTAGTGGAGGATGCAGCATGTTTCTCCAAGGGACTTGGGTGTTGTCTCGTAGTGATAATGACTGAGCAGGTCTTTGCATTGGAAAGTACCTTGCATGTGAGGAGATGAGATTGTGGAGTACATAGAAAGTCTTCTTGCAGTTTCTGTTTTCCTGCTGTGGCTGGAAGCAGTCTAGAAGACTCATTGCAACTTAAAAGACTCCCTTAGATCATCTGACAGCAAAAGCTATTTCTTTGTTGTTGGAAATGAGAACAGAATACACTGTAAGCAAGAAGAGAGATTGGATTTGGTCATATTTCTGTATGACAGTTAAAGATTCATTGTTTTGCTGCACGCAGCTCCAGTCTTCTCTAAAATGTGCTTATTCTTGTTTCTGCTCAGTATTTTACAACACGTTTTTGTTCTGCTGTGAATTTCCTTCCCATAACTGTCTGGCTTCATCTCGGTAATATTGTCTGAAACAAAGCAGTAGCTCTGGGTTTCTTTTTAATATTTTTTGAAAAAATGGTGCAATGTTCAATCCTAGCTATAGTACAAATTGGTCTTTTCCAGTGTCTTAAGGTAGCAGAAATCATGATTTGTCTACCAAAACAAGTAAGAAAAAGGATAATTGACAAAAAATAATAACTACAAATGGGAGGTTATGGACATGCCCTCCCTTCCTGCTCTTTCTGGTCATGGCAGTATGGATGAAGAGGATATCAGTGATGTAAGAAACCCTGCTTTCTTACAGCGGGGTGTGGGGGAGACACAGTCATGAAAATAGTTATGGTTAAATGATTCTGGGTTTTGAAGCCTGTCAGCATAAATCAAAATATACCTGGGGCTGCTGTAGCTGCTGTTGGCTGACTGTAGGTACCTTTCCTCCCTGGTATAATGCCTTTACCATGACATGCGAGATTATTACAGTGCTCTGAGTCTGCAGAGCTTTAGAGAAGTATTTTCAGATTATTGAAGGCTGGACTGCCTCTTCACCATTCTGTGCAGTGCATGGGGAGGGAGTTTCCTCTTCTCCCCACCAAGAGACAGGTCAGTGTTCAGAGATGATGTATCAGCTATCCTGGGAGAGACTTTCTGTACTGCTGTGTTTGCATAGAAGCTTTGCAGCTACTGGAATGTTGTTGGAAGTGTGAGAGAGGAACCAGCCCTGAGGTGAAACCAGTACAATTCTCATGCCTACCCTCTCTCTTTGTGGCACATTAAAAGCAGCACCAAAGTAGCATAAAGATAAATAGTGTCAAAATCACCAAAATTATTTCAATAAGAGTGGGGTTATGCAACTGCCTGTGGAGGGTCACTCTGCATTACAGGTCTAATAGGGCTCATCTCAATATTATAACAACTGACTCAATGCAGTTCTCTCCTACATGCATAGGAAAGTTCTTTTCTTCCTATTTTTCCTGTGCATTGCATAGGAAGGCAGTGTCAGGAGTTCTCCACAGGCACATTTTAGCTAGACTGGAAAAAGCAGGGGCTGTCGTTCTGCAGCCGTCTATGTGTATTTTCTTACCCATGAGGAAAAGGATTTTTTAGGAGAACGAAGACTTTTCAAGCTTCATTTTCTGTTGCTTTGCGAAGTCATATTAAGGTTGGCTGCTAGAAAACAGAGTCTGACAGATCACAGTAACAATTTTCCACAGGCCTTGATTCCCTGATAGGTGTGGCCAGATCCCTGCTCTGGTGAGGAGGGAGGCCAACCATGCAGCAGCATGCCTGGGATCACAGCTGATCCACAGCTGACACCATGGTACTTCTTGAAGGTCCTTGGATTTCCCAACTTGTGTCCTCCGTGTCCCAGCTGGGGCTGGATGATTATAATGAAGGTTTCTATGGAAATGTAGGCTGGAGCTGGTTTGACCACACTTGTCACTTCTCTTTTCCTTCTTCTTGAAAGCTCATAGACTTGAGGATTGTTGAAGGAACAGCTTGAACCCCAGAAGGCTGGGGTCTTGCTGCATTCCCATTTTACAGGGCTTGTCTGTGCTCACTGTATTGTGCCAGTGTTGCATGCCAGAGCTGGCAGCAAACACTGGAAACAGAGAAGATCTTTTTCCTTAAATTAATGCTTTCTTGCTTTTCCTCTGATATTTTCCACAGCAACCAAGTGTAATATCACAAGTGGAGGCTGGTGAATGATGAATTGCAGGGCAAAATGAACAAATCCATTGAGAGATGTCAAAGCTCTTGGTTTGGTGTAGTTGTGTTGACTGAAACCAGGTGAAAAGTGAAATCTTCAGTTCTGCTTTTAGGCAACTACCTCATGAGGCACAGGAAATAGAGGAAGGAGAAAACACAAAAGGTTGCTTAAGCAGAAAGGCAGATTTCAGAGGGTTTTTAATATTATTCAAATTAATTTAATTTTCTGGTTGTTGTTTTTGAACATTTGTAGAATGATATGAAGTGCCTATCATTTGCCAAGCAGCGCAAAGAAGTCTCTCGGGTGATTACACAATTAAACAGCATTGTATGTACCTCATAATCCAGAATGGACACTTCTTCATGCAGTGTTAGTCCATTTTCTATCCATAATAAAAGTCCTGATGAGAGCATGTTGAAATTTAATTTCTTTTTTTCTTTTTTGAAAAGGTCTGTCCACATGAGATGAGGACAGATTAATGACTGCTGATAATCAAAGTACAGTCTTTAAAAATAGTGAAGGTACTTTGATTTACACCATCTGAGCCTATGTCTCAAAAGTGACTGTTGGGTTTTTGTGGTGGTTTGTTTTGGGTTTTTTTTTTTTAATTCCTTCCAGTCTTAGAATGAATCCTGCCCAATCTGAACTCTGCTTCCGTATTTCCAGAATGCTCAACTGTGGCATAGCTATGAACATCAGTTCTTCCCAAACCAGAACTTGACAAACATGACTTAAAAGCTGTGTTTGTTCCTGGACTATGGCCTTGCTCACCGAGCATGCAGTCATAGCAAATTCTCATGAGTGACACATCTCTAAGCTTGCACTTGTACAACTTGCTTGCTTGGCTACCCAGAAAATGTATGAGAAACAAAATAAGGTGCTGAGACTGGGAAATGCTACACTTCTGTAAAGCTGTGACCTAAATGCCAGAGTCTCTGCCTATCCATGAGTATGTGGCACAATAAGACTTACAGATATGTGTCATTTGTGGTGACAGGAGCACAGGAGAAATGTCCTATTTTGGTTACAGGCATTGTCGTGGTTTAGTCCCAGCCAGCAACTAAGCACCACACAGCTGCTCGCTCACTCCCCCTACCCCGATGGGATGGGGGAGAGAATCGGAGGAGTAAGAGTGAGAAACACTCCTGAGTTGAGATAAGAACAGTTTAATAATTGAAATAAAGTAGAATGGTAATGATAATAACAATATAATAATGATAATTATAATAACAACAATATACAAAGCAAGTGATGCACAATGCAATTGCTCACCACCCGCTGACCGATACCCAGACAGTTCCCAAGCAGCGATCAC